GCGACGGCGGGCTGGTTATTGTTGTTGGCGCCGCCGTTGAGGCCGCCGAGGTTGAGGGACGTCGTCGGGTTGTTGCCCTGGGCGGGATTGGCGCCGACCTGCGGGAGGGCTGCGGGCTGCGACGCCGCGGGGGGCTGCGCTGCCGGCGGTTGGGGAGCGGCGGCGGGAGGTTCTGGGGCAGGTGTTAGTCTGGTTTGGAACTGGAGGACGAGAGGGATCTTACCAGCTGCGATGGGAGCAGGCGTCGACGGCGTAGCGGCCGGGGGAGGTGCCGGCGGTGGTGCGGCGGGCGGCACGAGAGGAGCCGCGGGTGGTGGCGGCGGTGGCGGAGGAGCATTACTTTGAGTTACCGTCACGGGAGGGCTATCGACATGTTAGTACTTTTGATGTCCCGTAGAGATCCCCACAACGGCATATCGAGGAAGAACGTACGGAGCAGCTTGCGTGACGAAAACCGTCAACGGCGCGGGGATCGAGGCATTGTTGTAGACGGTCTTGGTCACTGTCAACGGGGGCGGCGGCGGCGGGCAGTTGTTGTTGTTGGTCTTGCCCTTGCCGTGGTGGCCCTTATTGTTCTGTCGGTTGCCTCTATTGGCGCCGTTGAGTGCGTCGAGGATGCCCGCGAGAATGCCGCCGTTGTTCGCTCCCGTCAGGCCCTGGATGTTCTCGGCCTTGACCGTCTTCACCTGCACCGCGCCATTTCCTTGCACATCCACCTCGCCATTCCCTCCAATGTTGACAATCTGCCTGGGTTGATGCGTATCCTTCCTGTCGACTACCGCGCCCTGTGGTTTTATGTGTAAGTCACCTCGTCTTCCTCGTCCCCATTTTCATGATACCCAGCCCAAGCTTCCCGGTGTGAAACTCACCTGAGCGAATGTTGATAGAGCTGCCACGGCGAAGAGTGTACTTTGCCTCATCGTGGGCTCTGAATATGGTTTGCGAGAAGAAAGCTGGTGACCGTGAGACGTCGCCAGCGTTTCTCGACTTTGTTGTTCCAGACGTATGTTTCCTGATTTCCTTTCCCAACTAACAGGTCGATTTCTGTATAAAGAGCGTTTTTGGTTACCGCAACAGACCAGCCGTCGGTGAAGTTCGGTGGGATCAACCCTATGGTGATTGTTGTGAAAGAGTGTTCTGTTTGGTGGAGAGTGGTCCGTTAAACCTTCGCACTACTCTAACCCTCCGGTCCAGGTTCGCGATTACGATGGGTGAGGGGAGTAAAGGTAGAGAAGGGGAGGAGGAGGTAGGAGGAGTAGAGTTACGGGCAAGCAGGTGGCCACCTGCAGAACATTGTCCGGAGAGTTTGGCGAGAGATAGGACGGCCAAGACCTTTGAGTAATGAAGTGAGAGAGAAGAAGAGCAGCAGGGGAGCCGTGGTGGGCGTGTGGAGACTCTCTCTTGCCAGGCTGGTACCTGAATGGAAAGGGTAGCGGTAGCGGGATGGAGACTGATGAGAGTCGACCAAACACACGGGCAGGGGGGGGGGTGGGGGTGGTGGGATGGATGGGACGGGTCACGGGTGTGGAGGGTGTATCGTATGAAAGATGATGTTGTTGGAGTGGTGCTCGGTCAAAGAGCGAAAAGGTCACGGTATGCCGTCTTTCCCGTGTTCCTACCTAGGAAATGCTATGCTACAACAAGCCCAAAACAGAGTTTCGTAGAATTCGAAGACGCGAGAGCCAAATGGGCAGAAGAAGGAAGAGAGAGATCGGACGGGAGGGAGCAGAGAGGCACGACGCTCGCAGCTTTAGGGTGGGCTTGAAGTGAGCCGATGGACAATACGAACATCGCGAGAGGGAGGGAAAATAAGGGGACCACCGGCGGTCATCACGACTCACCACCCTCGCCCAGGAATGCCCAGGACCGTTAAGGTACGCCGCTCTCCGGCGTCTAGATTGGCTCTTTAGGCTTCGGCTTACCGGCTGCCCAATTGATGCCAAGTTGGCTAGTGGGTAGCAGCGCGGCGGAAAGACACCAGAACGGCGTAGGATGGGGTCTCGGCTGGTACGATCTCTGGGTCTTGGTCGAAAGGGCGAGACTCAGACAAGAGGGTCCCCCAGAGGCAGAGGCCCAGATGATGGCAACTTGCAAGGGAAGCAGTCACGACTTGCCCGTTTCGCCGCCTCTCTGGGAAATGCAGAAGCAGGCGGTTCCTGACGAGAGACAGGGTGAAGACATGCAAAGACAGGGATGTCGTTCAGGAACCAGCTGCAGCAGCTGCTGCTGCGCGGTAGCCGGTAGGCGGGACCCAGCCTAGCCCTGCGCACTTCAGGGCAGCCAAGAAAAGAAAAGAGAAGAAAGAAGATCCAGGGAGCCTTGCCGACTCGCTGTCGAGGATCTCTGGCAGGCTTCGATCGGAGATGCTGGCCTGGAGCAGCAAAGCGCAGTGGATTCGACGACCCTTGGCATGGAACAACCTTGGGCTGATTGTCCAGGGTGTGAGACATGCCCCAGACGGAGACCGTCTGAGACGGGGGGTGATGCGCCGCACAACTCGCCCCCCCTCAACTCCCAGCGCCTCCGAAACTGCGAGAGCGCCAGAATTTTCTTCTTCGTGTGCATTCTTCTTCCGTCATTGATGGCTCGTTGGTGCTGTTTCTTCTTCTTCCGCGCTGTTCCTCGGGCGCTAGGGATCAGTGACAGCAGCGCTAGCTCAGACGTTGCGCTGCCTTACGATAGCACACAGATGCAGCCCATACCGCACGCTGGTGGACGGCATCTCATCCCGTAGGCGGATCAGAGATGCGTGACGTGATGGGTTGTTTGATGAGTAAAGTCATGCGATGATGTTCCACGGCGAGCACGGCATCTTGGTTGTTCATGGGGCGCATCTGTTCTCGTCCATGGATCGTGTGGTCTTCAACCCTTCAAACCTGGGAAATCCCCAACCCTCATCCTCAGTCTTACACAGTCTCACCCTCCTTTAGAATGGTATGCTCAGCTGAAGCCGCAAGGTAAACATGTTTCCGACGGGTAGCGGGATATTTCTCCTTTACGCTTTCACCCAATCCCAGCTCGCAACCATCAACATATCTCAGTGCTGCATCTGCGAACTGATTTTGACTCGAGGCAAAAAATGAAGGGTAGGAACGGATACGGCATGTATAAAAAAAGAAAACTCAGAAAATGGGAAAATGACGGGAAACAAAACTCTCACCTCGTTTCCCCAGATGATCGTACCACAGCCGGACAGCTATTGTTAGCGATGTGAATCGTGGGCGGTGGGCATGGGAGATCGCCCTGCACCGCTGTCAGTCACCACCCCCGTGGCCCCCAAACACACGCTTGTCGCTCGCCCATATCGTAGGATGGATGCCTATATCACAGCCATCGTCCGTCAGAGTCGCAGTGTAGCAATCGTCGTCGCGTAGACTTTTACTGCGGGAACAAACGAGGGGTATGTGCGACAGCATCCACGTGAGGATCTATCGTCACGTAGCAATTCAGATGGAGCCTCCAGTCTCTTTCCCAGACTAGAGAAGCGGCCGCCGCACGCACTCTTTTTTGCAGTGCTGTGATTAATTGCCTGCCCTTTGCTCCCAACTCCTGCTCGCGTCGCGAAACCATGCGGACTCTCGGACACTGGACTGGACACTCTGATGTATTAGGTCTCATCCCATCTTTTCTGCTGCTTTAGCATTCGCAGCACGCAAGCAGACCAGCAGAAGAGAAAAAAGGCAAAACTTCGTCCCTTCCTAGCCCAGCCAATGAGCCCATCCGTCGAGACAGGAGGTGTCGCCAGCACGTTGCGATTGCGTAGCCCCCTCCCCCCTCGCAGGTTGCGGCGTTGTGAGAGAACGGACAACGGAAGAGGAAGGGCATTGAGACGACTCCATCGTCCCAAGGTGCTGAGAGCGTGAGAAGCGCTCGCTTCGTAGGGGACTCGCCTCAAGTGGCTGGAGCACTTGGGCAAAACGGGTCAGACAAGTCGCGGGCCATCGGTGCGTGTTTGATGCAATTTGGAAAATCTCGTCCAGTCGTGAGGTATGCCTCGCATGGCGATGCGGCAAGCCACGGGCCAGAGGGAGAGCCTGGAGGCAGGCGGGCGGTCTTGGTCTGGTTGGGTGATGCCATGCAGCTCTCAGCGATAGCATGTCGCGAGCAGCAATAGCATTGCTGCACTGGGTGGAAGATGGCCCTTCCTAATATCGTGGGTGAGGTAAGCCCGCAGTCCCCCACGGAGCCTGTCTGGAATCGACCCCTCAGATAGATGACAATGTGTTGCTGCTGAAGAAGGGCAAGGTGAGGAAGACATGGTGAGGGCGGCATGTCTCTGATCGCAGGTCTCCGAAGCCCCGAAGGTGCACCGCCTTGCATTGAGGAAAGGGAATCCAAGACAGCGTGAGACCACCACCCCTTTCCGCGCTTCAATAAGTCGTTGCGATTAAGCCCAAGGATAGGGATGTCATGATCGGGAGACGGGGCTGCCAGTCTCGTTCGTTTCACTCAATTCAGTGGAGCCAGGTCTGGGCAGATGGGATGTGGCGTCGATCCACCTGCTTCGAGAAATATTCCCTGTCCTTTCGTGGCTGATGGCTCTGTGGCTGGTGGCCGCGGCCCTCGGTGCTCGTCAAACTCCGATCGCTGGAATGCGGCCATGTACCCGCATCATACAAAATGTGTGGCATCGGTACACGGGCCTGGAAGAACTGAGACAAACGCGGTGGATCTAGCAAGTCAATGACGACACAACGCTCTCTCTTTCATCGTCGTCTCTCACTGGATTGAGGCTATGCGATGGGTTATCGCGACTGCAGAAGGATTCAGTCAACCATTCTCACCCAGAACTTCCGGAAGTCAATGATGAAAGCGTCAGCAGGATTGGAATTGAATCCTGTTCTTTGACCCTCTCTCTCACTAATACTTAATCCATTGCGGTTTACTAACAACCATCGTCCCAAGTGTTTCAACACCCTACCAAAGCGTCTCAGGTTCTGAATTGTGACTTGAACACAGCAATCAGCACGCGAAATTGAGAGAACGGCAAACCACTCACGATGGCGGTCGTTCACGTTCTAGACGATTATTACCTAGCTATCACGGCTCTCATCACAATAGCATATCAACTGCTCTTCTTCTCAATAGCCTTCAGCTTCAAGTTTGACAAGCTCACCGGTAAGAAATCATGCCCTCCAACTCTCACAACCCCTCTCACAGATCCTCTGAGCTGACACCATCTCTCAGACTTTGCTGGCGGCACAAACTTCGTCCTACTCGCAATCATCACCCTCGCGCTCAGCGGCCACCACCATGCGCGCCAGGTCGTCGCCTCCATCTTCATCATGCTCTGGGCCGCGCGCCTCTCGGGCTTCCTCCTCTTCCGCATCATCAAGACGGGCAAGGACGACCGCTTCGACGACAAGCGCGACAAGTTCTTCCCCTTCCTCGGCTTCTGGATCTTCCAGATGATCTGGGTCTGGACCGTCTCGCTGCCCGTGACCGTGCTCAACTCGCCCAACGTGACGCAGTACCCGCAGCACTCCTTCGGCACAGGCAGGGACGTCGTCGGCATCATCTTCTTCGTCGTCGGCTTCACCATGGAGGCCGTGAGCGACGCGCAAAAGTACGCCTTCCGGAGGGACCACCCGGAGCGCGAGGCCATCTGCGACAAGGGCTTCTTCAGCGTGTCGCGGCATCCGAACTACTTTGGCGAGATCATTATCCAGTTCGGTAAGTCCGGCCCGTGTCTCTCGCTGCGGTGCCAAGTGATACAGACCCCATCGGGCCATCTCACCTGGCGTTTTCGCTTCTTGTCCCCCAAGAAACTCACGGCTAACATCGCACAAAGGCATTTACATGATCGCCGTATCTTCTGCGGCGGACGGTTACGTAGGCGGCCAAGCCTTCAAGGCTCTCTACGCCACTATCCTCGGCCCCTTCTTCCTCACGCTGCTGCTCATGTTCGTCTCGGGCCTGACTCTGCAGGAACGCCCCGGCGCCAAGAAGCGTTACGAGAAGGGTCAGAACTGGGAGGGCTACAAGCGCTATCTCGACCGCACCAGCATTCTGATCCCCTTCCCGCCGCAGCTGTACGTTCGCATGCCCACGATTCTAAAGAGGACCATCTTTCTCGAGTTCCCTATGTACGTTTTCGACCCGGCGAAGCACTCCGACTCGGCGACGAGAGCGGAGCAAGGCGAGCATCGTCGTGAGGACGTGTCCAAGCCCAATAGTAGACCAAGCGGAGAAGAGAGCTTAGTCGGGCAGCACTCGTGAGAGCATCGATTTTTAGAAAAGGAGTGAGCGGAATGACATTTCATGTATCATGCGTAATGGCTGGGATGACTTTCTGTAGGGATATGAGATGAGATATCAGATACCATTAATACTTTTCCCCAACCTCACCAACACAATCAAAATCAGAGATCTTTCACAGACAACACCGTCCTATCACTTTCGAACAACTCTCGCTTGCGTTCTACAGCCTTGTCACAGGAGCATCTCATTGCAGTGAACTCTTCGGGCTGATATCACAAGCCGCCCTCAGGACTGGTCCAGTACAGCCCCCGCTTCCGCGCAGGTCGGTCGGCTGATCAAGCGTCTCTTGCGAGTCTCCATAGTCGGTGTAGTTCGCCTCTTCGGAGTGCGTCTCGGCGCCCTCCGGGATGGGCACCATGGCGTTCTTGGTCCAGATGTGCACCGCCGTCTTCCAGTCGAGGCCGTCGATGCAGCCGCCCTTGACCGACACGACGTTCTTATCCTATGTCTAACATGAGTTGCTGGTTACATGAGTTGCTGGTTCTTTTGTCAGCAGCAAGGCCGAAGGGACATACCGGTGTGCTGTGAATCAACCTCGTCCCACAGTTGCGGCAAAAGTAGCTGATGAGTCACGTTATTACATGAGAACGGGCATGGCGGCTTGCTATCAGACTCACCAGTGAAGTGTCACGCCTGATGCAGTCGGCCTCCTGTCTCTAAAGTCAGCATGTCATCCTGCTTTCTTCGCAGCCAGCTTGATCATCTTTCATTCTCTCACCTCACCCCTAGTCCGCCCCCCTACACCCTCATCTGTTCACTTCTCACACATGCAGCCGCCACCACCCACGGGTTTTGAAAACTCACGCGTAGACGCCCAGTAGATCCATGGCAGGGAGCTGGAACCTGGGGAAGATCGCCGACGTCCCGAAAGCGGAGCCCGTCTGGCGCTTGCACTCATCGCAATGGCAGATGTACAGCCGCAGCGGCTGAGGCAGCGGCGTCTTAAACGTGACCGCGCCGCATTGGCATCGCGCGTCCATCTTGTTCCACTGGGTCGGAAGAGAACCGTTAAAATATGACGTCAGAATAAAGGAAGCTTCGTGGGGTCTCGTCGTTGGCTCCGCGCGTGTGACTTCGCGGGGTTGATGAGTGAGAGTGGGTGTGTGTGGTGTGTTATCGAGATAAGCTCCGAGCTTCGTTACCCCGGACCGCGCCGCAATTGACGTGATTTCTCTCCTCCAATTGGGGAAGGATAAGTAGTGTTGGAAGGATTGTGAGATGAAGGATTTTGCGAAGTTTCCTCAGGTGTCAAACAAAGTTCCCGATTTCCTCAGGACGATGAAAGTTGAGAAGTCAGCAAGACAAAGGGGAGGACGTTACTGCGGGCGCGGGATCATCCCGCCCTTTTTAAGCCAATGACTCCTTCCCCCAAACCACATGACACACACTCGATCGACCGTTTTTCCCAAGTGACGCGCCAGTGCCGACGACAACCTTGGCCCCTGGCATATCAACTTTTAATTTCTCACTCAAGGATCGAAAGAAAAACAGTGATATCTCGCGTTCGGGATGCGCTACTGCGTGTCTGCGGCCCCCCTGGTTAGTGGTTACATAGCCCGTGAGTCACGACCGGCGCGGTGCGGGGCAGGCTAGAGGGTGAGACGGGGGCCGGTTTTGGCGGGTGGAGGACCACACCGCTTGGGAGCGAGACTGGCGCGAAGTCACATGGCTTGCGCCAGGGGTCCTTTTGAGCTGTCGAGGTTGGCAAACGGACAAAGAGGATTCGTTGCGGTTTAGTGCAGAGTTGAGGCGGATGGATGGGACGTTGTGGGGGGTTTTGAGCAAGTGGGTGGGCTCAAGCTGTCGATAGCTTCACTGCATGGATTAGTCACAACTTCACCCCGCTATCCTGCTTGCAACTTCATTTGACATGGATTTCCATCGAAAAGAGCAGTTGCTGGCGAAGAACACGAGACTAGGTCTGCTCGAAAATCCATGGGCATTGGTGGATGGTCAATGAGTACATAAGAGAAGTGACAAGCAACACAGACCGAGAGACCACCGAATGCTTGACATGAAATATGCACAGACTTGCTACCAAGAACCCTGTTCTCCTAGGAAACTATTCATTTTTTTCTATCCAAGGAGATGAAAATGACCAATAGTGGTGGCTGAACGCTGAGAAAAACACAGCAAGTTGCCGAATCGTAAGTTCCAGACACGATGGCATTCGGAGGATCGGGAAAGAGAGGGACAAACGACAATGTCATCAGAACATTTATGCATCGGATAACGGCTTCGTCATGATTTGACAGCTGATGAGAATTTCGTGGCTTCAATCATGCCATTCTTGGGTGGTCATACTCTGAGTGAAATAAAAGCTTTTGAACCAGAATATCCACTTAAATACCCCTTGTACCTGCACAGTCTTGCTCAACAGAATCCCAATAGTCTCCGACGGGTTCTCTATGTCTAAATACTTAGATTCGACATCAAGGTCCTAAGGTTCGAGGCGATGCTGCTGAATGTTTCAATGTAAGGCCTCCGCAATGTGAGCCGTCACTTCCGTCTGCGTCGTATTCATGGCGTGTATTATCCCGAGGGCTCTGAAGAGCGGGTTTTTTTTTTCTTTTTCTTTTTTTCTTTGATTGGCGGTGCATCCAGAACATACCTGGGGAGATCTAGTGCTTTGACGGGGTTAGAGCGCATGATTATCTCTTGAGAAAAAGAAAAAGATTAGAGTCAACATTCCTACCATTGTCTGGTTGTGCCGCCAAGAGACTTCCCGTGGGCAAAGGCTTCTTATATACCAACCTTGGCCCAGAAGCACAGGAGCTACGACGTGAGTCTCTTTCGGCAGACCGTAGCATCATAATTTCGAGGAGTTCCTATTTTCTTTACGAAATCAAGAGACGGAACAGTCGGCTTGTCACGCTTATGTGAGGCGTACAATGGCAGAGTTCCCGAACACAAATAAATAGCAACCGCCGTGGACTGTGTTGTGACTTATCTGTTTTCTGTTTTTCTCAAGTTTCTTGTACATACTCGTGAAAATCAATGCATGAAATACGTTGATTGAAGATAGGGGTAGCTTTTTTCACATCCCCGGGCCTTCAGATGGACGTCGAGCTTCCAGCGGCCATGTTACATCTTTCCTGGGGGAAGTGGGCATCACAAAATGGGCAGAGCAATCGCTGAGAGGATTTTTGTGGGTGGGAAAGACGCAGGATTATATATTCCCTCGGGAGAGTGAGGAGCCAGGTTCGTGAATGAGTGCCTTCTCGCTGGGGAAAGTCTACTTGTAAACTCATGGAACATCCGGACGGTTCATGTCGTATCTTGAGAGGGGCTCCCGAGTCTTCTGGCCATGATGCTAGTTTCTCATCTATATATTTATCACAGTTCAATGGACTACGATAAAGCAAACAAATGTATCCGATCGACTCTAGTATCTTTTTCAGTCGCCATGGCGACCTCTTCGATGCTGCTGCTGGCCGCCTGTCTTTTGCAGCAGTTGGTTAAAGAGATCATGTAGGTGAACGTAGCTCCCGTTTCTTCTCTGTCGGGCTTCATCTCCATTTACCATGAATGGTGGGTTATTCAACCGTACCTACAACCTGAACGGTCGTACTTCAATGCATCATCACCTGCCTGGACCACGCCACAGTGAACGGAGGGAACAGCAAGCTTCGCCCGACAACCCCGACGGCGGGCAGAACGCACATGATTGTTTATGCCGATGCCTGGATGACGCGGTCCATCCCCTTTTGTACTAACCTATACGACTACATCTTTGGGCGTTCATTCAGACCTCATGCTGCGGAATGAAATCTGCCGCCGTCCGTCTTCAGCGTGTAGCGAAGGACTTTCCCCAGCCCTAACGAGCTACCAGTGAGCGACCCTTCGATCCCAATGAAACCAGGTGCCTGACATGGAGGAAAAGATCAGGGTCGAGAAATTGAAGTGACGGTCGACCAGGCCCCGATCTTCTATAAAGTTGGTTCTCAAGCCATTTTTGACCGGGTCAACGGAATGCCCGTGTCACTGCCTCTGTCTTCAGAAAGAGATAGCATGGGCTACAACTTGTTCACTCGCAGCTTCTAAATGGTTGGGGACCCTCGCGTGACAATGGTCAAGCTTTTCGACCTCTTCTGTCTCGCTATTCTTTGTGAGGTATGTGGGTGAATTAGGAAGGGACGAAGATGGCGAATAGCTCCTTCCCTACGCGTCCCCTTGCTATCTCGACAAGCGCCAACAGCAAAAGGAAACCAGGCTCAATCACTGTGGAAGCATGCTTCAATTTTAGAGAACACAAACACCTAGGGTTATTTTTCGACCGTGTGAAAAATCATGTTGATCTTGTTAAACATATCGAGGTTGATGTCGGCACGTCTGGGATGGCGATGGCAGCCACGTACATGCCTGGTCTCGCTTGCCTTCACCTTCAGCTTTGCGAAAAGCCTCGTCGAGGTGGACAACATCACAAAAACAAGCGAAAGGAAAGAATTACATAGCAAGAGCGTCTCATTTCCATCTGTCTACCGATTGTTAGGGACCTGTCTGTCCATTTTTCACCTGAATGCTTCTATGCGTGTCCGTCCAGCCCGCTTTCCATAGGCCCAACTCCAAACCGTTGCCGAACCCAAGTCCTAATGTGCACACCCAAGAGTGCATGGGATGCCACGCCTGTGTATACTCCTCAGGCAGGAACCAAAGTCCATCCCCCCAAAAGATCCGTTCCCTCCAAAGACAAGAGAAAAAGAAATCGTCAGTCATGGTCTCGTAATCTCATGAGCTTCGTATCACCCTCCATCATTCCGCGCGTCCGAAAAAGCCGAAGAGATGTTGTAGAAGCTGCCTTCCCCTAGAAGATCCGGTTCCTGGACAGATCCAGTTCCTCCAAGTACTCAGTGCCACCCGTCAACTCCAGCGCTTGTCGTTTGATGAGAGTAGGCAAGGGCAAGCTCAGACAGAGAGGTTGCGCTTGCGGGTCATGGCGTTCTTCTGGCGGGGACCCGCAAAGTTCATCTTCTCAGCGGGCAAGAAGGGCTTATACTTCTTGTCGAAGACGCGGCCACCAGGGGTCCACTCCTCGGGGGCAGTGGCGTGGAGGCGGCCCATGATGGCATTGAGCTTGGTGTTGTTCTCAACGTCAAGGTTGTCAAGGACGTCGAGGTCACGGTTACGGTGACGAGTGATGAGGTTGATAAGCATCTCAGGGCCATCAATGAAGATGAAGAGGAGACCGCGGACAATGGCGGCGGTGATGTAGCCAACGAGAAGGGCAAAGGGGTGGACGCCCATCCAGACAACACGCTTGGTGAAGGCGTTGACATCGGGGTGCATGCTGGCGAACAAGGCTGTAATAAAGAAGACAGCGAAAAGCCGGACTGGAAGGGGCCAGGCATAGGTGTAGTCCATCTCGAGGCACTCGTAGCAGCGCTGAGCGAAGGTGAGACCTCTCGTAACGTGACCAACCATCTTGACCTAGAGCTTGTCAGTAAGAGTGATCATTGTGAAGTGGGCAGGGGATCGTACTTTTCGTGAGCGAGGTAGATTTTCCTTGTTCTTAGTGTAACTGGAGAGATAATTCCTTGTCAAAAATTCCTTGTGAGAAGGAATCTGTTCAGGTCAGTGATTTTTCACAAAGAGGTTGCGAGGCGTGCTCTACCAGTTGATGGAGAGATCTGAGTGTCTCCTTGTTTTTGTCTTGGGAAGGGACGCTGAGAGAATTTCTCGCGTGAGATGGGTTGAGGAGGGTAGAGATTTGTGATGCTAGGGGAACGCGTGTGAGTTGACGGGAGAAGAGAAGTAAGGAGGAGTAAGAATACCTCGCGCAAAGTATGCTAAGGAGGAAGGGTAGGTTGAGTGGAAGGTTGAGCAGGATTAGGGCTGCTCAGGTTGAGGAGAGGAAATTTTGTTGTTGTGTGTGGGAGAAGACGAGGCGGTTGTGAAAAAGTTCGAGGGCAGAGAAAAAAAAACAAAGCCGGTCGACGGGTGGCCGACTTGAGATGGCAAGACCGGGCAGGCAAGTCTGCCT